TCCAGTTAAGAAAACACTAAAATTGTGGCACTTACTTTTGACGGAACATTTCTTGCAGCCACTTTGTACTATTCTTCCATCAACTTTTGTCTGCTGCCTGCTATCAAACTCAATCACAGCTTCTTTTTTTTCTGTAAAGGAAACTGTGATTTATACAGATGCCAAGTGCACGGTGCCCCTGTTTTCTCAGAGTCCATATCTAGCCCCTTCACCTCCCTCCATCTCGCCGTCAGCCTGCAGTGTTCTGGCCAGCACATAATTGTCTAAGTGCTTCTGGATGGCAGCAGGCTATTTGGTCATTAAGGGGCCTATTAAGTCATTAGTGCAACAGTGGGACTGCCGTCTGCCTGCCGACGGGACCAGATGATCGACCTGATACGTGTTGCCTCACAGTTTTCCACATATTTGCGCAGGTAATTATGGCTTAGATGTGAAACACCCTCAGATGTCACGCTTAAAGAGGGGATACACGTCGCCAGCACACTTTAAAGGTAATCTCCTCCTCCCCTTCCCCTCCTCTTCCTCCACCTCTTTTTCCACTCAGTGTGTGTGTGTGTGTATGTGTGTGTGTTGATGTGTATGTGTGCAGATGAGCAATGGGTTAGCAATGAGACAACCAGAGCCTTGGGACATGTCAGCGAGAAAGATAGGGAGCAAGAGGAGCCGAGGAGAAATCCAAAAGGAATGAGAAGGTCAGAGAAAAGAGGAGCGGAGTGCAGACACAGAATCGCTTTTTCCATCAGTCAGACGCTGTGGCCAACACATCCCTTCAAACCCAAACTTACACACCCGTCACGGAATGTAAATATTTGGATATGGGTAAGGTTGGATGTTACTTAATTCCTCCCTTTAAAGATGTCCTGTTTAGGTGAACATGGTCCAAGGAACACAAAGTATTCTGCATGATTTGATACGACGCATGAGAATCTTATTTTGATTTAATTTCTCTTAGCAACCATTCGCCCAGCCTTTGGAGACATTCACTACCCTGGGCCCGTTTGCTGCTTACCATAAATGCTCATCAAGTAACTGCCACGCACAGCCAGAAAGCTCTGGATCTGGACAGAGAAAAACATTCCTCCTGGATACGCACTGTATTTTACTTTTACTGTTTTAAAATCATTTTCAAATCACCCATTTGTCCTAGGACCATTTACTTTATGAGGTCCAAACTGAATTAGAAAACCAAACACAAATACAAATCAAACTGAATCTTGTACAAAGTAATACTTACTTATTGAAAACACAGACTGTGTTGGTCTAAGTTTAAAGCTTCACTTTATGGTCACTATGTGAAAACTAAGTGGTTGCTATCCTAACACCACATAACTGTCATTGTATGTTTTCATACAAGTATTGGAAAAACTAAATGTCATCACATTTTCATACCATCAGTAAATACCTTGTTGTGATACATTAGCACTCCACTGTGATCACAGCGCATGTGAGGCTGCTGTGTCAGCGCGACGGAAAGCCTGAGCCTGACACCTTCTCTAGCAGAAGGATGGCACAGGAGCTGCCCCGGTGGAAATAGATGCATCAGACTGTCAGTGAAGCTGTAAACAAGGCTCCTCCTCACCAGGAGGGGAGGAGGACAGTCTCCTGCTGAGAGGAAACCGGATTCTGTCACCTACCAAACTCCCATCCCTTAAAAGCCCTTACCCAGTTCCCTCTCCAGCCCTGAGGTGACAACACTGGGGTGTACTGACAGTCAGCCTTTTTTTCTCTCTCTCCTTCTCTCTCTCTCTCTCTCTCTCTCTCTCTCTATCTCTCTCTCTCTCTGTCTCTCACACACACACACACACTCTCACACAACTAGCCCGAGCTGATGGAAACCCAGCCTGGTCAGAGGTGGAGCCAGGTACTCTATCAGATTGGGCGCTGCCTGCCTGGCTGCTCAGCAGTGCCCAGACTGACCCTAGCAGACTGCCAGTCTCCTTACCGCTCTGCTGCACCGCGGCTCCACTACCACCTCCCACCGTGACCTTTGACCTCTGCCCAGGAGACAGGCGCCACCGATATGATGTAATTTCTCTCCGACATGGGCCAGTGGCCTCGGCTGCAATGCGACCCAGGGAAAATAAATATGGGTGTTTATTTGGTGAGGGTGAGAGAGGCCCACAGGCTGGAGCCACCCTTGAGTTTCCCAAAAGTAGTTTTGCACTAAAGCCATTTTTGTTCCACATCTTAGTTCCAACAATATACAGTATCTAGGTGGAAATAAGCCACTATGGTTTGATACTGTGCACCACCGGTACGCTGTACCAGTGTGATGCTGAGGCTGCTGAGATCGTTACACAGGCCTTTGCTGCAGGCCACAGCAGAAAGTACTTTTCATCTTATGAGTCATTATTTATACATTTACTTGATAAATTGTGATGGTAATTTAGCAATCTGCCCTTGAGGGAAAAGGAAGTGTAATAGGTGATATTGACTCTGGGCGCTTTAGTTGTACCCTCTTGGTACTAGCCGGCCCGCCCAGCTGTCAACCTCCATTGGACTCCACAGAAGTGGAGAAGAACCATGCATCATGACCCGCCTTTGTTTCCACAGTCTCTAACCTCCCTCTCACAGAGACATCCACACCTCTCTGGGATCTAAAGAGACTATAAAGAGATCTCAGACAGACAGAGGTCTCATTAGACCACAATGGTCTAAAGAGGGCTCTGGCACACTTAACGTCTCTCCATCCCTCCTACGCTCCCACCAACATCACCACTACAAACAGAGGATCCCTGCACCCGCTGCGCCCTCTCCTATCCCACACAGGATGATGTATTTGCTGTAGCACTTTTTGTCTAAAAACAACATCCTCTGAAGTCACAGGTTCCCCTGGCAACAATTTGCGGAGCTGGACAACCCAGTGCCTCAAGACTGCCTGACTCGCGCTAGAGCCACTGCCAGGTGCCTCTGACAAATCCACAATGTGATAGATGATGAATCACCAGCGCTCATGTTTGAAAGTGCAAAGTTACAGGATATTCTAAGCAGCTACTTTTTATTGGGAACAAATAACAGGCTACGTGGGCTTGGAACCTTTCCCAACTCAGATCTCCGACTCAGAATTGCTCATGTTTCAGATTAGCGTTAGCGGTGAGACGATGCACATCAGTCTCCCTGCTTTCTCAACCCCACGGCTGCCTTTGCACTTTTCCTGTTCCCCCGGTCAGTCTCTATCTCTGCCTTTCTCTCTCCAGTGTATCACTTCTCTTTCTTTTGATTCCCACCCACGCATTTTCTCTTTGTCTATCCATCCTTTTCTGACCTCATCGCCGTTACAGTCAAGCGTGGAGGGATCCAATCAACCATAGTGTTCAGATTAAATCACAAATTATTATAATTGAGAATAATGGTTTCCATGTCAGTTTCAGTTCAGTTCTGAATTGTTCTCATACATATCTGGAAACTAGGGGGTTGGAAGCTCAGAAGTCCAGTGACGCTTGTGCTGTGTTGGGGTGAAATTCAACTTATCCATGATCCAATTTTAACCAAATTACCTTGACAATAAAACTCTTATCTGAATTTGAGCACCTGTCTTGTAAAAGTTTTACTGTCCACTGTAAATTCTGTGAATTCTGCCTGTGTTTTTCGCAATAGATTATGAGGATAAGTCAAACAGAAGTTCTCCAGAAACATAAACACTGTTTTCCAAAGTTGGACACTTCTGCTACCATGCTCTTTTACAGTGTAATTTAAAACAGTGTTGTTTTTAGGGGCTGTGTCTGCCAGCATTGGGTCAGTTAGACTGATACTGTTTCAAAGACGATAAAAACAAGAGACATGAATCCCTTAATAATAAGGAATGGGAAAATGTACAGGACACAACAGTCTTCCAAAGCTGCAAAACCCTGCTAACAGCATTACCACTTGTCCTCTTCATTACTGAGAAGCACAGTGTGCCTTGCTGAGCTTATTTCTAGGGGCAGAAAAGCTCTCAGGCATGTGCAGGGCAAGCAGTGCGACTTTGACAGCGTAGTTAGGAGGTGTTGATGAAAGAGGAGAGGCTAGGAGCCCACTGCCTCTCAAATTAGCCCCGGAGCCCTCCGACCTGTCACATGGAGGCTTAAGTCTTCACAGATTCTGTTGCACTGCACTCCCAATGTGCATGTATGGAGCTTTGCATGCTTACAGCGTGCCTTCGTGTGTGGCGTGCCGTGCATGCAAAGCACATGTGTTGTGTTATGAATACACACGCATACTGAGATGTTTTTTCCTCCGTCATGTTGATCAAAGGTTGTATTAGAACAGAGCATCCTCCCCTTGCTCATCACAGATTTTTACTGGGACCTCCCGCGGTTTGAAAAATGCTCTCCAGCCTCCAACTTAGGTGACCTCCAACTGATTGAATTCTTTAAATAGACTCATGTTCCCATCAGTTCTTTATCATGATACAAGAAGTTAAAGATGGATACACTCCCCATGTTTTGCTCATCAAATAATTAGGTTATTTAGTTCCTCTTTCAGTCTCTGATTACGGTGAGAGACCTGCGTTACCACAGCGAGCCAGACCGACAGTCTGCATTCATGAAAGAGAGAGAGCTCGCTGCTCTTCTCGCCTTCTCTTATCTCTTCTGAATGTGCATTGCTCAGCCTGAGACTCTCTTTGCAGATTCAGCTGTGTGAGTGTGTTTGTTTAGTGAGGTGGAGGGACATCCATAACCATAAAGCTGTCTCCAGCAGACAAGTTTTAATCACCCTTTTTTCTCCTCATATTGTCTTCTCCCGCATTCTCTGACTGTTTCTTTCACGGACGGTGCAACACCCAAAATCTGTGCACATACACTCAACTTTCACAGTGGATTATAGAGCCCTACTTGCTTGCCTTCCGAGCTACTTTACTACAAACAGAGGGATACAGGATACACAATCTTAGGATCTTCTCATGCCCCCTCTAGGCCTGGCTTGCCCTTGTAATTTCTCCAGCTCTTCCAGCTGTGTACACACAGGGAATCAGATGCTAGAATGAGGGGAAAAAAGCGTGTTTAGATTATTCCTCTTACCTGAGAGAAGTTGAGCCCATTGAGGGGGTGACACTGCTCCTCGACCCGCTCCACTGCCCCGGTTGTCTTTCTCATCCTCTCTGCTTCTTGAGCCAAGAACAGGTCCAGCACCGGCGTCCCCCTGGACCGGACGTCCCACTCCGTCAGCGAGTTGACCATCAGCATCACCCACACAGGCCTCTTCCTCTCCCAGTTCCCCGCAATGGCGTTGAACAGGTAGTCAGCATACAAGCCGCGGCCACGCTGGTCAGCGGTCATCCAGTAAGGCATCATGTGCTTGACGTAGTCCAGGTGGCGTTTAAGGCGGCGGTACAGGTCCCGAGGTAGCAGCATCTGGAGGTTCTCCCCGTGGGGGAGGAGCTGGCAGCTAGTCAGCTTGGAGATGGTGAGAGGGTCGGTGAGGTCTAGCTCAAAGAAAACGTTGGGGCTGTTGTGGAAAGCCTGCTTGGAGCTGTTGGGGATAAAGTCCCAGACTCGTGTGTAGGGAACGTGGATGGTACCAAATAAGTAAGACGGTGGATGAGGAGGCGCACGCTTTACTCTCCACAGGAAGGAGTTCATGTCACTTTGCTGTGGAAGAGTCAGAGGCAGGAGAAGCGGAAAGAAAATAAAAGATGAAGGTTAAGATTTTGAGAGCAAAAGGAAACAAAAATACCAGAGCCATCATGTTGGAGCAATTCAACTTGCCTTAAAACTAATGCTGACACATTTTTCCTCTATTGTGGTTTACTGGCTCATAGGCTCGGGTCAACAAGTTAAAGATTGAAATACCATTTTGAGATGACGGCAGCTCGGGGCTGTGCTGCGAGGGCTTGCTGCTGTGGTGCAGGCAGGCAGTTTATAGAGGGGCCTTCTGGGCTGTAAACAGACCCCCGTGTATTGTTGAGGTGCATACCTCGGTTGCCAAAGCCTCTTTCGGCCTGGGAAGCATTTTGAAGGCTGCAGTGCAAATATACTGCACTGGAGCTCATAAAAGCCAAAAGCTGAAAGAAACCTGCTCTCCGATCTGACCCCGCTGTGATACTATTGTTTGTGATTTTTTTTTTTTTTACACCAGGCAGGGAGATGTGGTGCTGACAGCCTAAAGTACAACACAGTTTTTGTCTTCTATGGTTTATATTACAGGAAGTGTTTGTCTATGGTGGTTATCTTTACACAAAACAATGTCACAATGGAAATGAAATAATCACAGCCACTTTAAATGAACATAGGGCTCTATTGCATTTAAAATATGGTTCTTGTTAGGCGCTCTGAAAATGTGCTGTGCATGTGCTATGACTTTGATGTTGGCATTATTCAAATATGAAAAAAAAAAGAATTAGCTTTTATAAACAATATCAAACTTCTGGCTTCTGAGACATGGTGTAATCAGGCATTTGAGGGATGAAGTCCATTACTGTAAAATAAAGTTATTCTTAGAAAATGTTTACGTCTAAAATTTAATCAAGATTTCCCTCAGCTGTGTTCCAATTATATTGCACACTGCCAACGCTTTTCAAATAGCTGCCAAAAGCCAGTGAAGTCTTCTTGTGGGATGTTCTGTTATCATCATAATTAACTGCAGAGAACATACAGCAAATTCTGGCACAGTCTCCTTCTAGACAAAATAAATCAAAAGTGCTATATTTAATTTCAGAGCAGCGTTCAGCTCTTGCAGATACACTGACATGTTTGAACTATTCCAAAGTTTCTAATTGAATTTTCACATTGGCCGGGTCCGGGCCGACCCTGCAGGGGGGCGTGGAATGTTTTGGACGGCACAAGATGCATTAGTGCATTCTTCATCATATTTGTGAGACAAGGAAACTTTAAGAGCATTTTTTTTTTAATGTGCAGCATTTGGTCATTCCTTAATGTGCAAATATTCGCTTAGGCCTCCCCATAAATGAAGAGACTTCTCGACATGGAAAGTGTGCCTGTCTGCGTCCTGAGGAGAGAGTCTAAAGCAAAAGCTGCGTGGTCTTTTCTGGAGAGCCTCGACTCCTTTTTATGGGGAAAATTACTCTTAACAGAAAACAGAGACCACTGTACTGACGCATTACAAATCACATGAAGCGGAGGAGCACGAAGCCCTCTGTGATCTCTGACCACAGATCCGTTATCCGCACGTAGGACGTAATGCACTAATGAAACACAAGCCTGTGATCTCTAAACGACTCCTAAATGACCACCTCAGTAACGTGCACGCTCACGGGCAGGACGGCCAAGTGTCATTTTTAAAGCCCTCCGGTTGCAGAGGTCATATATTTGATTCTGTCGTGATTTCTTTTTCTCCGCAGAGAGGCGTGTTGGATATGATGTTTGCAGTCATGATTTTGATGAACTTCTTTTCTTTCCGTCACGTGCATTCACAGTGGGAGGCAGACGGACCGGCAGACACGTTATAATTGAACTGGAGTTTGTGACTGGCTGCTCTGCGCCGCTGCACTTCCTCACGGTACGAGCTCAACCCACATCCATAATTTTACCAATATGTCCGATAAGTGCTTTAATGGGCCGTGTGTTGTGCTGAAACACGATCGCTTCTGAAAGGTCAGAAACTTTTCCAAATGAAGTCAAGTCACCCGTGGGTGTTCCCCACTTGCGTTTGTCACAGAAACAGCCATAAAGTTGGCGAGCGGTAAAGATTTCTCTTGGCAAACATATTTGATTTCTAAGGCCCGGGTCTCTTCATGGAAGCTGCGGATTTTCTGAGCGAGTTCAGAAATACCAGAACCGTCACGTTTAAAGGCGTTAGATCCCTGAACTCAGTCTATATTATTACTAATACAGAAATTTCACTATTATTATTATTAATATTATTATTATTATAGCCTACATTCTAGACAGTAATTTACATTATCCTGTTAATATTACATTTACATTCCCAATTTCATTCCAACTTTTATCATCCTTTCATCATATTGCACATCAGTTTATCAGGTAATAATAAAAGCCATTCAAATGTTGAAATGGTCGTAACCTTTGACCTTATAATAATCACATCTTACTTTCATGATACATTTATACCGTCACCCCCCCTCCCCCCAAAAAAAAAATAAATAAATAAAAAATAAGTACAACTGTAGGCTACTTCATTATTATGACTTTAACCGTTATAAAGGTGAAATAACACTTGAGGAAAACTTTGACATCAAGTGTCACTGTCCTCTGTCAGATCTGCAGGCTGAGTAACAAACTGTCGCACGGGCTCATATCGCAGCAAATGCCGTTTTGTGCTCCAATATGCGTAAACAGTTATGTCAGGTATGTTGGCTTGATAAAGTACCCCAGCGCGACTCACCGACTTTGGTGCGTCGCACTGCCTCGGTCTGTCCGGTCGCTGTGCGCCCCAGGGTGCCACAGCGTGCAAGAGAGCGCTCAGGAAGACCCAGCTGAATCCCGGCAGGCAGATCATCGTGTCGAGGTGTATGTGGACACTTGTGACAGTCACCTTCCTGGAGACTTTTTTTTTTAATCTCTCTTCTTTATGCTCTCTTCTCACTGCCCCTTTCTCCGTCTTCCTTGAAATAAAAAAAAAAAAAAAAAAAAAAAGAAAACGTTACCGGTGGCCTCTGGGCTCACATGTGTCGCTCGGCTGGAGGACCATTCCGCCTCTTCCCCACTCCCGACGCTCTCCACTTCTTTGGTTCGGCTGTTTCACAAACGTTTCCTGTGTCCTTGCAACTCGGAGCAGTTCTGAAGCAGGGGCTGAAAACTCTTTTGGAGAGTTTCCGCGGTGCGCTCCGCAAGTTTGGAGCGTCTTGACTGGGAGAGAGGGAGGTGGGACGATTTGAGTACCCACCACCCACCACCCACCACAACCCACCTTCTCCACCACCCCAAAACGCTCAACATACACATTCAACTTACACACACACACACACACACCCACACACACACTCACACACACACACACGCATACACCCCTGAGAGGAGGGAGCGCAGGTTCAGGGAGGGATGACAGGTTTGCGTGAGTAAAGCCCCACAGAACAGAACCAAAAAGAGCGCAGGGTGGTGAGTGAGTGCTCTCATAACGTTCGAGTTTGGAAGTTTGCTCATTCTGGATGGTTGTTTTTTTATCCTATAGTAGCAGAAGGCTATGAGACCTATACGGTAATGTCTTATGCTAGAATATCTGACATGTTCAATTCTGGAATCATATTTTAATTAGTTTTTAATGAAAACCACAGATCTATTTGTTAATTGATACTGTACTTGTTGAGTTTGGTGGTATTTATTATATTTCGGCTACTGCAGGGATTTCTGTGGTGTCACTTCTTGTCCTCTAGCAGCTTCAAGATATCAAAATCAAAAACAAAAATCTTAACTCAACATCCGCTTACTAGCTTTCTCTGACTCTTTTAACTGCATTGCACGTTCTTCCTTAGCAGATGGAAGGCTAGTTGTGGGTATAGGCTGAGTTTGTTCATGTATAAAATTCACTTCTGTGTGCTGTGGCATGTGTGTGAAAGCTCTAAAACCTAGTTCCTGTACTGTCACCGATAATGCAGAGCCTGGAGGGCAGGTGGCACACTCGGTGCTGGCAGGTCAGACTTTTGTTTTGTTTGGGTTTTCAGCAGAGTCATTCCAAAGATGTATATGAACAATTTTTCAAATGTTGTCATGTGCTTCCTCTTCAGTGGGATTACATTTGTCTCTGTCCATCTCTGTTTAACAACCCTGCGGCAGTACATAGTATGAGGGTCACACATGATTAATGGTCACAAATAAACAAGTCCGAGTAAAGACAACTGTGAGAAGTGTTTTATTTACTTTCAGCCCAGCACTCTTCTTAGGATGTGCTGATGTGGAGCAGGCGGATCTGAAATAAACGCTCATGATGAGAGAAAGTGGCCCCTCTCTGTGCAGGCCGCCATGTCAGCGCTCCACTACTCAGCTATGACCTCAGTTATTGTCCAAGTGGCAGACAGTGTGACAGAGTCAAGTAGTGGGAAATTTATCATGGAGACCCCTCAAACAAGTGGCACCGGGCCCCTCCCTGCAGGCCAGGGGCAGACAGACCTCGGACAAGCAACTCTTTGTCCTCGGCCATGTTCTCCCCTCCTCTCCACTCCTCTTCTCACCACTCTGCGCTCACTTCTGTTACTGGGCAGCTCTGTCAGCCGCCGACTGTCCCTGTGCGCTCATTGTATTTTCCATTCAGATGAGGCAGATTGGGCGTTTGTGCTGAGTGTCTTTGATCAGCGTGTGTTTTTTAACACAGTTTCACGTTGTAAAACTCTGACGCCTCTGCCCTTTCACCCTTGACTCTGACTGCTCGGCTGCCATTCATCAAGAAAAGTCAATATTTCTTTGTTTTATGCACAGCGTCCTGCTTGAATGCAGCCTCAGATGCTTTTAGATGCGTGAAGGCATAAAGGAATAACACAATAGAACCATGTTGATGTAATCTAATCTTTTTATCCTTGATGCTCTGTTTCTCCTCTTTGTGGCTCTTGTTATGAGACAGGTGTGGGATTTCAGTTAGCGGTTTCATCTGCTCTAATATGGCCACCTGTGGACTCAGGTACCAGCTTTAACCACACCTTGCAGAAGGCTTCTCTTTGAAGGAGCTTTTCACATTCTTGGCCGGTAAGAAGTGGCTTATGAGCGGCTGGCTGCAGGAGATTCCTGGACGGGGGCCAGCGCTTACAGCATAGCGCACATATAGCTGGGGACGAAAGAAGACTTTAAAGTTAATGTTCTGTTAGGAGACCACAGAAACGCTCACTTACAGAACGCACATCTGGGGAGGCATTAGAGAAAGAGAGAGAGAGAAGAAGAAGAGGGAGGCAGGAGAATAGAAAGGGCGTAGGTTGAGAGAAAAAGGTATTTTTTTTTAAAAATGTTAAACAAAGTCCGTCAAGCAGCAAAACCCTGCCAGTATCAATGCTTTCCACCGCTTCCACTGACTTTGCATATTTTTTCTTGAACGTGTCCTTTATGCACAGTATGTATCCTATATGCACAGGCAGACAAAAGAGCACAGAAGGAGGGGAGGGAGTAGGAAAAGAGAGAGTGAAGAGACCTTGTTAACGTTTGTTGCCCCTGCAGCTCGAAGGATCCTGTGTCTGCTTGTCCTTGTGGCTCCACGGCTGCTTGTCTGTCTGATGTTGTGCAGAAGTCCTCCTGCAAAACCCCAGCATTAACTCACAGCCTATACACCGGCATCATTACTTGTGAATTAGTATGTAATGACAGAGGTACTACTTCTATTACAACTACTACCCCTGCTACTACACCACATGAAAAGGAAATATTCTTATACATCCACTGAGCTATTACTGTCAGGGGAAAGTAGTGACTGGGGCTGGGAATACAATATGTGCATTTGTTTATTATGTACACAGGGACCCCTAGTGGTGTGAAGAAGAATTAAGATTATGCACAGTGTGGACAAAGGTAAGAAGGGGAGAGAGAGGTGGTTGACTTGAGGGCAGGAAGACAGTGCTTCAAAGACAATGTGAGTTTGATGGATATGAAGGAGTGGCTCGTAGCTTCAGGCTGTCATACTTCACGGACCGATTGCGAAGGCCACACTGAGCGCTTACCTCCCCTCTCTCTCTCTCTCTCTCTCTCTCTCTGCCTCTGTCTGTTGTCTCTGCTCTCAGCTGGACTACACACACACACTCCCTCCACTATCTCCACCCGTCTCTTGTGCAGGCTCCAATATCCTCTGTCCCACTTTGAAGATATCAAGGAATAATATTGACTGAGTCTCTGGTGAAATGTTATTGTGGTTTCCCTTTCCGGATGTCCTGGGAAAAAAGGAGGTAAAAGGAAAGTATGGGAAGTGGTAGAGGAGGAGGAGAATAATGTTAGCGAGGTGGAATATGTCAAAGAATGCCAGAAAGAGGGAGGGAATCAGTTAAACCCAGTCACATAAAACAGCTGGAGATGAGACTGAGCGTTTCAGCCAGTGTTTTTGAGGAACATGCGCACACTGATTTAGATGGTGTTTACTGACAACAACAGGTCTGTATTAAGTTGTCTTTGCCACGGACTCCACAGTGACGTCCCCCTATGGCGTGTCAACACATGCAGTGGATCGCTATCTGTCTATCTTCATCATCCAGAATGAGCAACAGCAAGTGGGGAAAGATGAGAGGAAGAGATAAAGTGACAGGGATCACAGTCAGGGTTGTTTTTCTGGAAAGCACTGTCTCACAATGAGTTTTTTTTTTTTTTTCAGCTGGACCACAACAGCGGGGCCAGCCCTGTAATCCCGAATGTACGTGACTGACTGACTCATCACATTTCCACCATAGGTCAGCCGATTGTCATGTGACTGAGTTTACCCATCGGCCTGACTTCTTCAAAATTAATTGCCACAAACCGTTTCTATTAGTTTAACTTTATGCATTGGTTGCTAGATTTAGAGACTTAAACCTATTACATGGCTGGACTGTGTTGTGTGAGGTGCCTCTAATAGAAGCCTGACTGAGATAAAGGCCTGTTACCTTCTGCACCTGAGGTAAATAAAGGCCCCATTCACTATGTGAGGAAATACAGTAGTTGAAAACTAGTGTGGACCCCGGATGGAGGCTGTGCTCTTTGTGAAAGACAAAATAGGAAAGATATTCTGTCGCTTCTCACTGAGCAATCATTTTACAATTACATATAGCCAAAGATCGCAGCACTACCTTTGTCTTTAACTTAGGTGTATGGTGATTCTATCAGATGACGTTGCGGTTATAAAATCAGGATCAGATCAGAAACACTTTATTATTTTAAAATGGGAATTTTAAACTGTTAAAGATGACAACACAGACATCCAGCCAATGAGCACGGCTTTATCTCTGTAGCAGCAGCTGCAAGACTTTTATTGGGAACAAATCAAACAGCAGCAGGTGGTTTCTGAAGCATTTCCATTTTAATGACATTATATTCCCAGATATCCCAACCAGGTCCTTACTGTGTATTGCATATATATCTGTTAACAGTTATGGCCATGTTGAATGTCAATCTCACTGTTCCCTCAAGGGATGAGTACAATATATATGTAATCCAGCAGAGTCCTACATATGAGATTTAAAGGATTAATGTATTTCAGAGCTATAGATACACAGACAGGTGACAAATCAAATGAATAGTTCATCGTTTTGGGAAGCACACTTCATGTTGAGGTTTCCTTTAATACGTCAGCCCCTGTAGATGACTCTAAAGGAAGCTTGTCTTGTTACGGTCCTGTTATGGGCTTTGTCAAGATATGTTTCCCGTCCTTAGATTTTAGTCAAACAACAGTTTTGATCATAATGTTTATTTTAGCTATTTTTGCCCAAATACACACATACTTACCAATCCTCTTCACAGACAGCCATATCTTGTATTTGTTTTCTAGAGCCTATAATGCTCTCACATCAAAGGCTTGGCTGGCAGAGGCATCCCATGATGCACTGTGCTCTCTCCTACTGA